CATCCTTGGGGCTTTATGTTGGGGCTCTTCAAGGTTTCCTGAATGAATGAATGGTTTATGCCTAAGGACCTTCTACTGTCCAATTTGGAGACGATATCAACTTAGTTATTTTCCTCTATTTGGATATTCTCTACTTTAAACATATGGAACTTGGTTAAATTTTCTCTCGCTAACCGTACATAGAGTTGTAGCACTATTTCTTTCGTTTAAGCTTTTCTTTTGATATGTGATACCATTAGATGAGAATATGTTTTCAAGTTGATTCTTTCTGCCTCCATCTCAGATGCTAGTGTGAGAACTGTTATATCTGTTTCATATTCAGCTTGATTATTGGTGGTCAGAAACTCAAATTTCAGGGATACTTCAATAGTCAATCTAGATTCATTCTTTAGAATGAGCCTAGCTCTGCTCCCACGATTTTTGGATGATCTATTTGTGAAAATTATCTAGGTGTGTGCCAGTTCTGGTTTATTGGGCATCATTTCTGGTATGAAATCTAAAAATTATTAGGACTTTAGTGGCTTCAAAGATTCATGTACAACATCAAATTCAGACATCTCGATCAACCATTTGGTGAATCTCCCCACCATATTGGGTAGGTGGAGGATTTTATTCAATGGACGGTATGTTCTCACTATTATCATGTATCGTGTGAGCTAGGAAGTAATGCCATAACTTTCTTGATGCGGTTACGAGGGCTAAAAACACTTTCTCAATCTTTTGATATTGTGTCTCATGTTTGGCCAGAGCTTTTGAAATGAAATATATAAGATGCAATTGACTGTCTGACTCTCTAACTATGACGAAGCTAACTGCCTCTTCAGAGAGAGCTAGGTATAGAAACAAAGATTCTCCTAGAAAATGTCTAGTTAGAATTACTGGGGTGGATAAAGCTACCTTCAAGGATGTGAAAGATTACTGGAACTATGGCATCCATTCGAATTAGGCCTCTTTTTTCAACAGTTTATAGGAGAGGAGGATATGTAGTTTCGAATTTGAGATGAATCTCTTCAGAGTTGTTAATATCCCATTCAACTTTATCACCCAGTTCTTTGACGTAGGTGAAATCATTTTCATCATTGTGTCAAACTTGTCCGAATTTGTATCTATTCCTATTTTTGTAAGGTATAAGCTCATGAACTTTACAAATTTCACCCTAAAGGTGCAGTTTTGGATTCAACCTCATATCATATTGGAAAACTCTTTGGAAGTCGCGGGTGAGGTGCTGATCATGAAATTCTTCTTCACTTGACATAACAATCATATCATCCATATAGACTTCTAATGTTTCTTTTATATCTTCCTTAAAGACTTTATTCATCATCCTCTGACATGTTGCTCTAGCCTTCTTGAGGTCAAAGGGCATGACATTATATTAATAATTTTATTGTTCGGTCATAAAGGTTTCTTTTCCTCTATCTGGTTTGTACATCAAATTCTTGTTATGGCTAGAATAGGCGTATTTGAAGGACATAAATTTGTACCAAGCAGAACTGTCAACCAACTCTTCAATGTTGGGGAATGGGTAATAATATTTAGGGCACACCTTGTTTAGGTCAGTTTAGTCAACACATATTCTCCATTTCCAAAAGCGTTAATGACTAGTACTATGTTAGATAGTCAATTGTTATACTTGAGTTCAGAGGTGAAATTAGCATCTAGTAAACCTTGCACCATCTTTACAGTTGATATGGCCTTTTTAGACGACAGTATTCGCCATCTTCACGCTACATATTTAGAACTGGAGTCTATGTTCAATTTGTGGCATGCCACGTTGGGATCTACCTCGGGAATCTCATGGGGAGAATAAAAAGGTTGGCACTAACTCTTAAACAATTAACTATCCCTTCTCAACAGACATGTTGGCTCCTATCTTTACAATCCTCAAAGAGTTACTATCAAGCTGGATACTTTTGAAGTTACCATATGGGGAAGGCCTTAGGAATTTTTATTTTATTTTGTTTATCGTTTCCAACTCACTATGTGTTGGCTCCTAAAACTCGACACCCTTGTTTTTATTAATATAAGCCATTAAGCATGAAGGATGGTTTCGACCAGCTAATTCTGTCGAAATGCTCATCAGAAGATGGCAAGGTACTTAGAGAATTTCTTCTAAGTAAGAATCCTGTTGCCTTCGACGTCGAAGGTGCTTCTCGACAAAGGAGTTCGATGCTCAGAGCGGAGCGGTTTGAGATTCAAACGTTTGGAGGGAAAACGGTTCCCAGCGGTTACCAAATGCAACGTGCCAAGATCTGGAGCGTCGAATGCTGTGAGCGTGCCAAGTGGAGTCATCTCGAAGCAGTGTAACTGCCCGACGGTTACCTGAGATGTGTTTAGTATAAATATTAGTAGTTCACGCAGTTTTTCGCGTGTGTTCACAATTATATACAAGTCACTCATATAGATTCAAGTACCCAGTGTGAGCGAAAGAATTGTTGAGAATGTATGTGTGAAACACCACTTTAATTAATCAAAGTCATTTATTTTTCCAGAACTTTATTGCTCTTCATTTACTTTTCCAGTCGAAGCCTTCATTTTAAGCCTTCCTTTGTTCTATCAAGTTTTCTTCTTCATGCAATTTACATAAAGCTTCTTTATTTTCTTGTCATTTAACCATTGTCAAACTTAGTCAAAACCCCAAAATCAACCATGTCTTAGGATCAATCTGATCGATCCTGCGAGTCACCAAATAAGTAACATTTTGGAAGATCAGCGGTTGTTTACCAATTCCCACGTTAAACACTATACAAGGAACGTTATACATCATGTGCACTGAGTTTGACTATAGTGTCATCTAAAGACTTACTTTGAGATCTTCCTCCCAGATGATGGAGGCACTGGTCAGTTTCTTCATACTCCCTTATAGTATGTGGCAAGCTCTGAGAAGACATACCTTGGTTATGAAGGGTACACTGGATTCTGCATGGTATTCCAACTTCAAATGCATTAGAGAGGCGAGTTTGTCTAGTTCAGAAAAGAATGGGTGTCCTGAGATGCCATTGTACGCGTTTTCACCTATGATCACGAAGAAGCAGACGTTTACCATTTTTATTCCATGTCCTTCTCCTAAGGTGAAAGGAAAGTAGATGTGTCCACAAGGATGAGTAGAGAAGTCGTGAAAAGCAATTATGCTTTGATTTGTACAATGTTTCAAATCTTGTGGTCTTAGTTCAAGTTTAGTGAGGATTTATAGGTAGACCAAATTACATGAGCTTCCATCATCCCACTGAATTTCGAAAACAAAATGATTAGTTATAGTTGCAGTAATGACACTAAGATCCATCTCTCATCTCCTTGGTATCCACTTGAAGATGTGTCTCCTCTCGAGACTGACGAGTGAGGTTCGATTCAATCGGATGGATCTTCCCCAACAATATTGATAAGGAGTATTTGGGTGTAACTTAGTTCAGGAATATTTGGCATCATCTTTATTTTGTGCAACTGTCGAACCTGTGGTGATTTAGAAGGGAGAGGTTTGGTGGTAAAATTTAGTAGGACTTAAATATCGTTCTCATAGACTACGTCATTATTCTATTGTAGAATTAGAATCAAGGAACCAAGTCCAGATCACGATGTCTTTCGAAGCTCCGACGTGGATAATACGATGAACCTACAAGATTAGGACTTCAACGCTCAAGTTAGTTTGTGACATAAATTGAGGTGGAGCCAAAAATCTTGAAAAAATGAAAACAAACATGTTACGTCGCAAAAGAGGAGTATTTATAGAATAAATGAGATTGGACTTTCCTAATCTTTTCTTTCCAGGATTTTCGGATACAAGTGTAGTCACTTTGTGAGGATTGTTCTCATTGTTGACATAGTGAAAATCCAAGAGGATTGTTCTTGGTCCTAGAGGATTGTTATTGGCTTTTTGGTAGTTCTTGTTTAAATTTTCCACAATAAGGAAATCTCTTTCATGTTGAAAGGAGATTGGAGTACTCTCGGACTGTGAGGCGAACCAGGATATATCACCCGTGTCTCTTTATTTTTATGCACTTTAATCTTTCCTAAACTCACCATTAACCAGAAAAATAATATCCATCATCACTAAAACCATAATTTTTAAAAATACTTAATTCACCCCCTCTTAGGCGCACTTCGTACTTACAAATTATAGAGGAAATATCATTAAAAGAAGGAGAACAAGAAGTTCCAGAGGAAGAAGTAGTATTTAAGGACTCAATTGAAGATGAACCAATTGATAAGGAATTATCACACCACACAATGCTCCTATATTGATTAGTGAGGACCAAGAGACAACCAATGAAGTGCCTAAAGAAAAATAAAGAAACGTAAAGAAAAAATATAGCCCAATAAATAAAAAGGAAAAAGAAACCAATCCAACTTATGTGACATAAGATGTCACTACGGAACCTAAAGTGGAGCATGGGATGACCTTTGAGCATTCCCCTAAATTAAAATCTATTCTGTTATGGAACCAGAAATGGAATAGATAAAAAAAGTTATGGTAGAGCGAAGCTTCTCTGGTGAATCCTTGTTGTGGTACCATGAATCGAAGGTCGCAATCACGATGCTTCTTGAATCAACACTTGTTAATTGATGTCGATCTTGAATTGAAGCTTCGACTTTTGACTTTCTGTTTTGCTTGACTGCCTTCAACCTTATATTTCGAGGTACCTTTCCATCCTTTCGGCTTTTCATTTAAGCATTTACTGTATTTTTTGTTATAGTGAACGATAGCCCTATTATCATCAAGAGTGGTTCAAAGGGTAATGTTTCTTCTTCTTCTTCGAGAAGGAGATTGGGAACCCCTCCATTTTGAATACAGTTGAGGTTATAGCAAAAGCTTGCATTACGGTTGGAAATCCCTCGGACTAATTTATTCTCATTGTAGGTCCAGTGGAGAGGAAATGCAGCTCTATTGAGGGTTTTTTGATTCTTTTTTACCATTGTATTTTTACCAGGTTGAGGATACGTTTTCCCTTCTCTGATTTTGAGGTGGCTATGACGGACCATTTGAAAGTTTCCCCTTTACAACTTCATCCCGGAGCTTGGGCTATCATAAAGGTGTTCCAACTATGTGTTGTGTATAAATCTTGGAAACATTCCCTGAGGCTCTTTTTAGATATTTTTTTGTAGCTCATACTTTTTAGGATGATGCCTAGGATCAGAGATTGGTTTTCCTTTGCCACCCAATGCCTTGGTTTGGCTATTTTGCCACCGACTGGGTGATTTTTTTGGAACATTTCATACGGGTGAAACCTGTTACTCTTGAAGCTCATATTTTCTTTTGTTTGTTTTTGGCCCCAGTAGGGTGTGCCCGTTCTTATATAAGTGATTTTCAGAAGTATTGGTCTAGGGTGCATTTCTATCGGCCTTTTCCTTCTTATAATTATATGTTAAATCCTATATCATCCGAGAAGATAAGAATGAAGGAGGATATATGCGCCTGATATCAGGGGCTCAACTATGAAGAAGGATTTGATCTTTGTGAAGTACTCTATTTCCAACAAAAGGAGAGATGATTAGATACTTACTCAATTGTCAGTGAGTCTGATCATTCCGAGAGACAAAGACTCTTTGGGTGGGATGAGGATCCTGAGAACTTTATTTTTTTTATTTTATTTTTTAACAAGTTTACTCGTGTCTTGCAAATAACATGGATCAATTGTAGAAGGCTCTTGCGCTTGCCAAAAATCAGGGTCTTATGACCATTTTATGTAGACAGATATCGATGGCTCCTGTCGTTTCCTCTACTCCTCCTCTGGTAGTATAGATTCTACTTGTGTTGACTGTCTTCCTGGTAGTTGCAAATGCTACACCGGGTATAACCCCAGAGGTTGAATAGTTGACTACATCGACAATTGGATTTTCTATTCTGGAGCCTTCATCGTCTCTATCTCTTGTTAAAAGGTGTCGGGGTGATAACATGTCCTCTCCTATTAGAGAGGGTTCTTCTAAATGGGCTTGCTTGTCAGAGGGTGTCGAGTAGAAGGAACATCCCTCATTTTGAAGCTTAAAATTAAGTCTTGAACAATAAGACAATTCAACAAAACTAGAATCTATATTGATTATCTTTGATGAATTATATTAAGGCAACACTTGACATCATAGGTTACATGTCTGCGCACACACACACACTTATGGAGAAGAAAATTGTTTAAAATTGAGTTGTGCTAATGTTCGAATACTAAAATCTAGCTTGCAGAACATTGTTTTGATAAAATATGTTGCATTTAGAATAAAATTGGTTCCTCGGGAAAGCTTATGATACAATAGAATGGAGTTTCATAGAAGAGATGTTGATTGGCCTCCAATTCCCTAGTAGATTTATAGTCCTGGTCACGAAATGCATTAGGACTCCTAAGTTTTCCCTCATGATGAATGACACAATGCATGGCTTCTGTAAAGCCAAACGTGGATTAAGACAAGGAGACCTAATTGCCCCCCTTGATCTTTGTTATTGACAGGAAGTACTTGTCTAGAATTATGAATAAAATTGGCTCTCTTGACAATTTCAGATTCCATGAGAAATGTGACACCTTAGAGTTGAATCATCTAAGCTTTGCTGATGATGTTCTCCTCTTCTATCATAGGGATTACCTGTCGAGTTATTCCATGTTGCAAGGATTACAATTGTTCTCTAGAATCTCTGGCCTCTATCCTAACAAAAATAAATCTGAGATTTATTGCAGTCGCATGAAAGATTCAGACCTGCAAAAAATCTTGGATGCTTCAGGATTCATCATGAGTAGGCTTCCTTTCAAGTACTTAGGATGCCCATCAATTCTAAGAGGATTTCAGCCAAAGATTACCAAATCCTGGTGGACAAAATAAGTGGCAGGATCAGGACATGGAGTTCAAGACATATTTCCTTTGCTGGTAGAACTATTCTAATTAACTCAATGATGTTAACTATACATTCCTACTTGAGCCAAATTATAATAGTCCCCAAAAGGGTAATCAAGGACATTACCACTATCTGCAGAGCATTTTTATGAACAGGTAAAGCTACATCTTCTAATCCTGGTAATATAGCCTGGGATTGTCTTTGTAAGCCTAAGCAGATGGATGTGATAGGTTTTAAAAACAGTCTCCATTGGAATGTTGTTGCTATTGGTAAACATGTTTGGAATATAGCAAAGAACAAAGAGAATCTTTGGGATAAATGGATACACCATGTTTACCTCAAAGATGAAGAGTGGTTGGATTATGAGATTCCACAACAAGCTAGTTGGTACTGGAAAAAGTGGTAGAAGTTAAAGATCAGATCAAAACTAAATTGGATAATAGACTTTCACTAATACAGATTATAGTATCAACAATTGCAAAAAATTTTAAGATTGGGAATGAGAAAAAGTATTGGATGATTGCTCAATGAGGATATATTTTAAGAGCAGTCTGCTTATGTCATATAGTTTGATGGGTTTTATTTTATGTCAACACAAAATAGTTTGATTAGTTTTGAAGAGAAATAATGCTCTTTTGTGAAAGTAATAAAATATATTGGACAAACTTTTATCAATATATTATATTATATATGAATGAAAACGAAAGAAAAACGTGAAATGCCCACTACTTTTCTATTTATGATATTAAATAAGTAGACTATTTTAGTTTTTCTATTGATGTTGACAAAACCATATTTCCCCATAAATAATTAGTCATTATCTCTTCTAAAGTAAATTCATATTATCCTGCCATCAAATTGAAAGGAACATAAGAACTTCCTTTAAGTTTTAAATAGGATTTATTATTTTGTTTATAAAAGAATCTCGTCTTCTCAAATCATGAGTACCACTTTAGTGTTGTCCATTTTCATGCTTGTTTATCTTGAAATTAGGTCAAACTATTTTTTTGGTTAATTTTGCATACAAAACCCTAATTCTAACATGGCATAATTAGAAAACTTTTAAATGCGAAAAATAAAAGGTCCTAAGTTATTACAACACAATATATGGGATGGGGGTACAAATGTTCAAATGGGGATATTTTAGCAAGAAATTAAACCTAAACTATTACATCCCAATTGAATTATACAAATTATTTAATATACAACAATTAAATAAAAATAAAAATATAATAAATGTGCAAGATGCAAAAAATGGTTTTTTTATGTATGAAAAAAAAGTATTTTTTATGTGTCAAATAAACAAAAATAAAATTAATTAATTTTTGGTATTTTTATGTATTTAGGGTAAAACCTTAATTTTATAAATAAAAGGTATTTATTATGTAATATTTATTAATTATGTACAAAAATAAATAAAAGAAGGTATATTGTAAAAAAAAGTATTTTTGAGGTCAAAATATTAATAAAAATAAATTGTATTAATTCTTTGCATTTTTTCCTAAATATACTAATAAATATATAAGTATTTTACATTATTTATTAAATATATATTATATGTACAAAAATAAATATTTAATATTATTAAAAAAAGTATATTTTTATTATAAAATGTTTTCAAGAGATAACATAAAATAAAAATCAGAAATAAAATATGTTTGTATTATTTTTTAGTTATTTTAAATAATAGTATATTTATGTTTATTTATATATAAAACTAAATAAAGCCAAATAAATATCAAATAAAATGCAAAAAATGTGGGAAAAATAAATTTAATAGTTTTTCATGCTTAAATAAAAATATGGAAACAAAATCAAAAGGAAAAAATGGAAAATGACAAGTAAAACTCAAAATGGGCCAGGGGGTGCATGTGAAATGCAGTGGTGTGAAAAGGAAAAACAAATCTCAGGCCCAGCCGAAGACTCTGTCTTCTTCAACCTCCAGCTTCTTTGTACAAAACACGCGCCTCTGCTATCTCAAGATTCTTGGACTTTTAGCACAAACTCACAACATGAAAAATGTTAAGCATCAAGCCACGATTCCATACATATAAAAAACTTAACCTAACTCTCAGAAATGAGAGAGAATTTCTCCATCCCTAATTCTTAACCTAAGTTTTTGTCAATGTTCAGGTCTTAAATTCTCTCAGCACATGCAATATAAATGGAAAGTAAAGATATGTATAGCTTCAGGGGCATGAATAGAACATTTTTCATTCACAAACTTAGAGCTAACTCTTACTATATTGAGAGATAGAAGTCCATGAACTTACCTGTTCAGCTTGGATCGTGTCTGACAATGGAGGCACCTTCAAGGCAAAATGAGGATTGGTACAGCTTGCTTGAAGTTCAGAGATGCTATTCCAACCTTTAACTTGCTTTAAAAACAACTGGATCAAGCTATGGCAATCAACCTGCAAAACAGAAAAATGAAAATGGTGATGTTGGTTAGAGGTGTTACAGGTCGTGTCCAATGCTTGGGATAGCTTTCATATATGGTATGGAGTGTGTATGAATTGGATTTAGCAAGAATGCACGAATGGATTGGCTTATGAAAGTCCAACTGCAGAGGTTACTCTGTTTTTTGCAGTGGGAGGGTGTTTTGAGGTTTGATGATGTTTGGAAGGTATTTGGCTCGTGCTCTAGCTTAGGTCTTATGTTTGGAAGGTGTACAACAACTTTGCTTAAGCTTGTGTTGGCTGAAATGAGAGTTGGTGTAAGTTATGCCAAGTTACTTCTAACTTAAGCAAGAATGGCAAGTTGGTTTTACAAGCTTGTGCAGGCCCCTCTAATGTGCTGCAAACATCCCCCTTGATCAGTGTGATATGCTTCTGAACTTGTGCCCAAAGATATGGCCTTGTACTTCTTGATTTTCAAACTTGACATAAAGTTCCACTTTTCAAAAATGGATATATTGCTTTTTCTAATTATAGCTTAATCTTGTATGCAATGTTTAAACACATAATATAAGGCTTGAATACAAGGGGTTTGCATTAAATTTATGAGTGTGAATGAGATAAAGCACCTGTAATCCATCTTAGAACATGCTGAGTTCAAAAATGCAAAGTTATGAACATGTAAATTGGCCATGAACAAAGTGAGTTTTGCCCATATTGCCAAATTCGATTCTCCCTAACCATGAGGTTTTTTGATGAGTTCTTGGACATTTTGGAAAGCTTAGAATGTGTACTACAATCCATATTTGTAATTAAAATTGAAATTCCAAGTGGAAGCATGTGAAAAGTGGTCATGAAGTTAGGCAAAAATCCTGCCTAGAATAGGTCAAAATTTCTCTAAGTTAAGAATGTTTTGCACCCTTGTTCCAAAAATCATAACTTGAGCTACAAGCTTCTTTTGAGGAAACTTTGTGAATCAAAGTTATAGATTTTGCAATGGACTACAACTTGCATGTTTTGACTTTTGTTTGAATCCAAATGCATCTTGATGAAAAAATGGGACAAAGTTAGGAAAAAATTAGGGATTTTCATAACTTAGAAAAATTCTAAGTTATAAAAATTCTTCATTTTAAACCCTAATTTGCAATTTTTGATTTCTTGATGAACAAGTTTCATAAATTGGCATGTTTTGGTGAAAAATGAATCTTGACACTTGATTTTGACCAAAAAGTCAAAGTTTGACTTTTCAGTATACAGTCAAAAATTGATCAATTGACTGGAAAATTCATCTGTCAAGCTTGTGCATTTGGGATCTTTTGAACTTGTTGAACATGTCAAGACAATTCCATGGGGTCCTTGAGTCCATATATGATCTTGGTTTGCCATTGGCTAGGTTAAATAGTCAAAAATTGCCTTTGTGCAGTCAAAACCCTAAAAATGACCATTTTGCCCTTTTGGTGATCTGATCAAATTTCTTTGTGGAATTGTGATCCAAACTTGAACAAATGGTTCAAATGAGTTCATAATGTTGATGTGGGTCAAAAATCACGAGGTTTGACTGTCAATTGACCACATTTGACTTTTTCCCCAATACAGCTGATTTCTAGGTCAACTGTCCAATTGACTGGGCAAAGTTTAGAATCAAGACTTGAAACTTGGTAAGGATAAACTTGTGAGTCCAAAATGAAGCATGGAAGTCATCTTAGGCATCTTAGGTACAAACATCTTTGTGCAAACACAAACCCTAATTTGGGTCAACAGTGCAATGAGGAGTCTTGGGCAGAGTAAACCCTAACTGGATCTTGAGCTATGAGGGTATTCTGATGAGAAAATGTTGAGGAAATGGGAGGGAAAATTTTGGGGTACAACAGTTGCCCCTGTTCAATCTTCTTGCACCTGAAGAGTTAGATTGGCAGGTTTTCCTTTCGCGTCTCGAAGGTAAAAGGAGATTGGACACTAGAGTGCCCTTAAATTTGCACTCATCAGAACAATGGATACGGGAATGGGCTTAGAGATGCCATTTGGGGATGGGCTTAAATATTCCATCTGGAAGGTTTGTTGAAATGTAGTGTAACGGGTCAGAAGAATGAGGATCAAAATGGTATCTGTGTCTGGAATGTATTTGAACTGCATCTAAGGACTGAGTTTGTATGAGCAGAAGAATGACCTCTGTGTCTGGGGCGTATCTGAGTTGTAACTGTGTTTGAAGTGTAGAACGAATATCAGAATGACTGTCGTGTCTGGAGTGTATCTGTATTGTATCTGGGTAACAGAGAAACATATGTATGGAGCAACTGCGTGCTGGGGACAAATTCTGAATGAGTGACAGAATGGCAACCATGTTTGGAGCGTATCCGGACTGTATTTGAAGTTGAAAGTTGTATGAGTAGCAGAATGACTTCCGTGTCTGGAGTGTATCTGAAACTGTAACTAGGATTGAGATCCGTATGAGTAATAGAATGACTTCTGTGTTTGAAGTGTATCTGAAACTATAACTGGGATCTAGATAAATGACAGAATAACTTCCGTGGCGAACGCACCGGAGAGAATCAAGATGCTGTTGTAAGGGTCAGAATGGTATCCGTGTTTGG